TACTTGTGGTCCCTAGAGTTTCCAAAAGCAGAATGGGAGGAAGAGCTTTCAGTTATCAGGCTCCTCTCTTGTGGAACCAACTTCCAGTTTCTATCCGTGAGGCTGACACATTGTTTTAAGATTAGGCTTAAGACTTTCCTTTTTAATAAATCCTGTAGTTAGGGTCAGCTTGGGTTTCCTGAGCTATCCCTTAGTTATGCTGTTATAGGCTTAGACTGCTGGAGGACAAACTGATCACATTTCTTCACACTGCTGCTGTCTTTGCTTGTTCTACTCTACCTGTTTTGTATTTGTAATTATTTCTATTCTTGACATGTATTTTTTTGTCTTTCGTCCAATAGAAAGTACATCTGCATCTACACCTGGACCTGCCATTCTGTGTTTGTCAGTTTCTACTTCCTGTCCTGTCAAATCCAACCAGTTGAAGCAGATGGCCGCTCATCCTGAGCCTGGTTCTGCTGGAGGTTTCTTCCTGTTAAAAGGGAGTTTTCCTTTCCACTGTTGTCATTGTGCTTGCTCAGGATGGGAGACTGTGACAAAGTGAACATTCATCACAGTTCATGTTAAGGAACAATTACTAATTGGCTTTTTATGTATATGAATGTTTCTGTTCAGTGCCCTAAGCCTACTTCTGTTGTGGCTTGGTCATACGGTATATAAATAAACTGAACTGAATCTTATTGTTGGGTACAAAGAGCTGCTGCAGAGGGATGAAAGGGCCACATGTGGCCCTAGAACCACAGGTTGAAGACCTCTGACTAATGGAGCTGTGTGAAATCATTTAGGAGCTGTTTGACTTTACAGGCAATGTAATCTGGATTATATTACAAAACCATCTGAAGAACTATGGTTTAAGTGAATCTGAACTCTTCTGAACGTTTGAACAGATTTACAGAGAAGTACACAGGGACAGGTTCATTTAGAGATCTGAATCAGTCTCAGTGCTTGAGGTGAAGACACAGATAAAGTACTGCAGGTTTGCAGGTTTCAGGCGTGGCCTAAGATGCACATGTCAGAGTTCTGGCTCGAAGCCCGAACAGTTGTGTTGGAAGCAAAACCGGCACAGTTGAATACCACCTGAGCAACATGCCCCTGCTGTGGAGGTGTCGCAATCTACTTCTTTGATTTACATACTTTCCCACGTCTTTCTTTTTTTTTAACTCCACCTGCAATTTCCGGATTCTCCAACAATGTGTGTTCCTGAGAGCTTTGAGATCCATGCAGATGAAGCAAATGTTGGCTTTGGAAAAGCCCGGTGCTTTAACACTGCGATAGCTGCACAGGGTGGGAAGTCTCACAGTATTGCCATGGTCTAAACCTGTAATGGGTCATGTGCAGAACCTGGGATCTGTTGACGACTCCTTTGCACGCAGTTTCCACATCAGGGAAAAAAATAAACGATGCAGAATTGAAGTCAGTGTGCAGGTTTGTCCCAAAGGACCACAGAATGTTTCTGGGAGTCCATTTCTGCACCTTCACAAGTTGTGGTCCTGCCACAACTTAAACAATGTGGGCTTTGTGGATCAAACCCTTATGGGGGTTGATGATCGGGGTGCTCTTCCTGAGTTTGGATATGTCAGACAAGCTGGAGTGCTCGCTGTCCTGGTCATCAGGATGCTCCTGACTGGCAGGGCCACCCAGCCCTTCGTCCACTTCATCCTCATCGTCTGTAACTGGTGGGTAGGTGCAACTCATAGGAGGGGCCTGGTAGCTCTTGGTGACACTTCCTGGGCGTGACCCCCCATCTGCTGGCATTATGGCGTTGCCATTCATGTGCCTCAAGGCTTCAGTCTGGTGTACGGCAGGAAATGTGGATGGCGTGAGTGGAGGGTGGTAACGGCTCTCCTGTGACAAAGACACGAAGCAGACGCATTAACTCGTCACGGTATCACCAGGTGAACATGCACACTGAGTAATCTTAATGAGAGGCATTCCAGAATTAGGTAAAAACACGTTAGAACAAGCCTGAACTCTTCATGTGCAATTGAAAGGCCTTACCAAAGACATGTTGCTGTTTTTCACATACGTCTCCACTCGGAGCCGGGTCTCCTCGTCTCGATCCAGAATCCTGCCCCTCCGGTTGGTGCTGCTCAGAGCTGGTCTGCCCAGGGAGTCGTACGCTCCCCTTTCCCGACCACATGAGATGGTAGATCTGCTGTCACGGCAGTGAGCCATCTCCTGTATGAAACAGGAAATATAACAATTATCAAGATATACACTGATCGGGTTGTAATGATTCTTTCAACAATACTTTTATTAAAACTGAGTTTATCCATGAAGTCTAGAGGGGTTAGATCAGTTAGAAGTTGTTTATTTATAACTGAGATCAGAAGAGTCATGTGTGAGAGCTGCACATACCGGTTTATATATATATATATATATATATATATATATATATATATAT